CCCAGGCCCAGGTACCAGACAACAAGGGACCACCCAGAGCCTGCCAAAATTATTCAAACTGTCCACCCCTAAACTCGCTCAGCACACCTACCCCGCCTCACCCGTTCCTTCGGAGGAAATCCCAGGAAAGGCCCTGGGCCATGCTCTTCCCCTCCTGCCTCCTGACAGTCCCTGGTCCTTCCCAGGTGGTCCTATGTGCCCTGCCTCCTGTTTCTATGTCAGTCATTCCATGTCTTACTACACCTGATTAAGACAAATCCCAGGGACAACTGAGCACACCATGAGACTTGGGGGTGTCTGTGGATGGTGATGGTCCTGCGGAGGGGCTCTGTCTGCTCTGGTCTGTTGAAAGCACCATCGATCTGGGCAGTCTGCTCGGATACATAAAGTGCTCTTAGAAACACACCATGTCCTTGAAAATGATTTTTCAGTTGGGACTTTTCCTGGGAGCATTTGCAGCTTGGAACCCTGATCTTTCCAGCTGAGCCTGAGCCTGGAGTCACCCCAAAAACAGCAACAGGGGAGTTTCCACAAGGGACTGCCCCAAACAGTCCCTAAATAGGGCTGTTTGGGATTCTGGCAAAAGAAGCTCTGAATGTCAAGGTGATCAGCCCAAAGCATTTATTAAGGGAACTTACATACACAGTGCTGTAGAGAAAGGGATGTTTACCTGTGCATGTCTGCAGCGAGAGGGTCAGGATATGGACTTTAGATAAGGGCTTAAGGGATTTGGCTCAGGGCTGGGGCTAGTTTCTAGCATGTTTAGCAATAGGGTTACTCTCTCAGTGTTTCTTTTCTTTTTGTTTCTTTTGGGTAGCTGGCTGGTATGGGGATCCAAACTTGTGACCTTGGTGTTTTAAGGCTGTGCTCTCACCAACTGAGCTAACTGGCCAGCCTCTCAGTGTTTTCGACAAACAATCTACACGGCCTTATCAATGCCTGGGAACGTTCAAGGCCCAGGCTTGGGTTCAAGCCTGCAGGGGAAAGCATGCTGCTGGCCGAGTCAGAGTGGTCAATGCACTCTGTGTCTCTCCATCAGGATGAAGAAAATGGGGAGTGGGGTGGGGAGGAGTAGGACACCCTACAAACCCCAATACCAAACGAGGGTTAGCTGGAAAGCAATCCGGGCTGGCCCAGTGACTGGGCACTGTGACCATGCGAGGGACTGCAGGTGAAGGCTGTGAAGGTGAAGGAGGCTGTGCTGTGAAGGGTCTGTTCTGCTCGGTGGACCTGAGGCTCCGCAAGGTCTAGAGAAGGGGTGTGAAGGCCCTGGAATGGCCTGCAGTGGACAGAAGCA